TGATCCAATACCTTCAAAAGGATGCCCATCTGTACGGTCAACGTTGGGCTGCTGAAGAAGTTAAGCAAGTCAACTTATCACTCAAGGCAAATGTCTTCTCTGAATTGAAGGTGAGAGATTTTATCTTATGTGAAATATCATCAATTTATTTACTGACTTTTGTTGAGATGTTTCCAGGCGCTCAAGTCACAATTCAACCTTGTCCACGACGGCTGGACCACAAAAGGAAATCACCATGCCTTCCTCGGCACTGCCGTCACCTTTGTCAATGAAAACTGGAATTACCGAGTCCGCCATCTCACCCTCAAGCTTAGCGCATTGCACCACCACGGCCCTTGGCTTGCGGAGCCAATGGTCAATATTTTGGTGAAACACAGGCTATACCAAAAGATGAGTCCATCCATCTTTCTACCTGTGTGTTTTTGGGCTGTGCTCACTTCCATAATTGTATCACATGCTCTGTTAGACGACTGACTCCGGGTTCAACAATAAGACCATGGCTCAGGAAATGCACAAGCAGTTCCTCAAAAAAGATGATATCTCCTTGTACAATTGGAACCCAAATACAATGCATATTTATTGTTTCTGCCATAAGCTTGCATTGATTGTCAACGCAGGCTTGGCAGCTTTATGAGTCAAAGCACCTCCACCTTTGAAGGTTGAAGAATCAGATCGAGGTCACTTTCCAATCATTGAACAAATAGATGAGGAAGACAAAGAAATTACAGACAAACCTCAAGTGATTCTTTGGCCTGATCTACCCTACTGGATGAAGATGAAGATTTAATTGAACATGACGTACAATACCATGAAGAAACTCCACCGGCAATTGTTTGCGAACTTGATGATGAGGATGTGTGGAATGCTGCTGATGCTGAAGATCAGGAGTGTCCAGAAGACCTGCTGCTCAAGGAAAATGAGGCACAACCCACTCACTGTCGAGAAGCAAACCACGTTGATTATATTTTACGCAAGGTAGGTAGGGTTGTTAATCTAATCTGTACCATATTCATATTAATCTATGGTATTTATTTAATAAGTTTGATTTCATAACCCGTCAAATTACTCGATCTGTGGCGTGGCGCAAAGAGTTTGAAAGGGTAAGTGCTCAGAAGGGATTCCATGGATCTTTAATTGCGGGTTATGGAATCCATTGGAATATTAAGTACCAAAGCCGCCATAAAGTGTGGCTGGCTCAAGAGGTAAGCTGTGTTTCAAACTTCAATGGCATTAATTGACAACTGACACTTGATATTTCAATTTATTAAACAGGTTATTGATCACCTATGTCGTGCTGACTTGAACATTGTTCATGCTAAGAATCGCCCTGCTTGGATCAAGAACAAGAAGCCTTATGGCTATTTCCACAAATTGGAAATGACCACGAGTGAATGGGCACAAGTTTGTAAGATTAACCTCGAACTGGAGGTAAGTTTATGCTTAAGATTATATGTTTGTTTTTTATTATTACCACACTAATGAAAATATTTCCCAATATTTTTAGCCTTTCATGAAGACAACACTTCAAATGGAAGGTGACGGTCCCTCGGGATGTATGGTCATCCCAAAGTATGTTGAACTCCGTAATTCCCTCAACAAGAAAATTCAGCCACTCGGCACTTCTGATGTGATCTATCCCATGCTTGCAAAGATGAAAGAGAAGACATTGGACTATCTAAATGAGGCTCTAGGGTGTGAGACCCTGGTCATGGCCACGGTTCTCCACCCGTTTTTCCGCCTCAAGTTTTTTGCCAAGTGGTTTGGTTCCAACTCTGCGGTAACTATGAATGCCAAAGCAATGTTACAACATTGACACTGGGAGTACAAACTATTACCGCCTGCTAATGACCAAACTATGTCATCTCAGCAAATGAAATCCTCAAAGACACCTTCAACATCTTCACCAAAACCTGATATATTCAACACACCATACCCGTGTGGTGTTTGCTCATCAACGAGCGCACACGAGTCGCCTTTGTGCCTGAATGGGAATTCGTGTGCGCTCGTCGTCGGGCGACTGCCACAAGGACATGGTGACAGTGACTCTGAAGACGAGCCCAAAATTGAGGAGTCAGAGGATGTTGCTTTGAAGAATTACCTACGAGGAAGTGACAAGATGAAGACTGAGGATTACAATATTCAAGATCCCAACACAAGCTTAGCATGGTGGAAAGTGAGTGCTATATATTGTTTAACTTTGGGTACAGTATAGATTGACTATTCCTTGTTTGTTAGGTACACGAAAAAGGTCATCGGGTACTGGCGTGCATGGCTAGGGATTATCTGGCCTCAACAGGTTCATCATGCACAGCCAAATGCAATTTTTCTTCTCCTTTGGACATATGTGCCTCTGGTAGAGGTAGCTTAATAGCTTGCACAATTGAGATGCTTGTGTCAAGCAGGTTGTGGTTAAGGGAAGGTGTGGAACTTGGTATAGGTTTTGAAGATCTCGTAAAGGTTTTCAAGCTGATGGGAATTCCCATGAATTGATTTTATTTTCTTGATTGATTTGATTTAGTTTCATTCAACTTTTTCATTCTTTACTCTCTTTGAATACCTTTCTATTTACAACTTCTACACTCCCCTTCAAGAATATTTTCATTGATCTTCAATTCTTTCATTGATGTTCAATTCTTTTCATTATGCATGTTTTAATCTCAATATGCTACAAATTCTGGCACTGTAGCTGTAGCTGTAGCTTGTGCCGCAGTGTGCCTCTCAAACCTGATAAATGTAGCTGTTAGCGCCTGAAGCGTGCCTCGATGCCATCGCAGCGCAGTCGCAGTCACCCAAAAGCTCCCTGAGAAAGCAATGTGCAGAAAAAAATTGCTGCACATCGCAGGCCGTCGCGCTGTAAAAGAAACGCAGCGCGCCGCAGGCCGCTGTGTGCAGCGATGAAATGCCGTGTAAGGCGCAGATTTGTAAAAGAGAAATTATATTTTGAAGAAAAAAATAAAAAGTATAATACGAATTCAATTAAAGAAAGTATAATAAAATATAACTATAGAAAACATGTTTGCTGCGTTGCAGGGTACCCCCTGCGGTACTTTCACTTTGACAGCGGCCCGGGAAAACCGCAGGCAACCCCGCGCCGCGGCCCGGGTGTACCTCAGGGGCTGTCCGGTTCACTGCGACAGCGGCTCGACCACAACACTGTCCAGAGATCGCGGCCCTTGGGAGGGCCCTGACTGTCAGCACCTGCTGACACATGCTGACTGTCAGCACAGTATAAACCCATAAAATAAATGGCTTTATACAACCTACACAACTGCCTCATTCACCTGTCGCCACCTTTTGCCATCTACAAGACAGACTCAGGACAGGGTGGTGAAATCAACTCCCCCAATTCACCATACCCCCGCCGATGTCATATGGTTCACCACACTCGCCGCTGAGATGACGGTGGTTTCAGCTCAAGGTACTTCCAAAGAAATGGATCCAGCAGATTAATGTTGACAATATAACATGAACTTTAAAGGTAAGCTGAGAAACAATCGATTCGACTCATTGATCTTTCTTTATGTGTCAAGTTAACCTCACTCAACTGACTTTGCCAGTTAGATCAACACTTTTGGACACCTCTTGACCTATAAGCACTTTGCTCAACTATTTCCAACGAAATCTTCAAATAATCAAGACAATAAAAGTGATCAATGATTATCTTATTGCGCTCCCAAGAGTGCTCCCAATTCAATTGTTGTCACATCACAGCAAGAGCTATCTAATGGTCGCTCCACTGCTCCTGCTATTAAGTTGAAGTGTGGAGTCCGAGAGAGAGGATGAGGATGAGCGCGAAGCTAAAGCTTCCAACGGGGACGATTGCATGTTCTTTCAAGGAATGTCAAACCTTGACTTCTCAACTCTGCCACCAGATCTGGGTTTGCTTATCTATGTATATAGTATCATCACTCTGTGAGCTCAAGTGTCTCAAGTAAAAGTGCAGACAAACCCATCAATCTTTTAATAAGCCACGAGAAAAGAGAAATATCCCTCTCTGGTTGGTCACAACCAAGCAAATGAGCTTGATGTTGTATCTTTATAAACAATCTGGTGAGGTACATATGGGGATGTCAGAAAACATGTGACGGGGGTGTGACGCGTAAGAAAAGAGGGTGTGAAAGTTTTAAGTGATTTCATGGGGTTTAAAGGTCTGCAAAAGGTATGTGACAGCGGTTACTGTCAGCTGACAGTCAGCACTGTCAGGGACCTCCCGGTTCCCCATTGTTCCAACACGTGATCTGCTGTGGCGCAGTCGTGTACTCTCAACATGCGTGTTGCTGTCAACAAATGTCAACTTGATACACAAAGTTACTGCCAAAGAGTCAACTGTGTTAACTGGGTTTTTGAAGACCGGGTCAGGTTTGAGAGCCACTAATGAGTCTATCCTCCTTGGTCTTTGCTTGGCTGAGTTAGTGATGTCCGATACCAATTTCCGGTGGCGGTTACGTTGAGAGAACAAGTTTTGAGTGGTCCGATCTATGAAGGTGTTGCTCAACAGAAATGGGACGTGAAGGGATGAAGTAGAATGTCAGATGAAAGTCATGGGAAGATGAGAAAGGTTTGAAGTGAACTTGTTGATAGAGTCACTGAGAAGAATTGGAATCAAATCTTGAAACGGCTTACATAATGAAAATCAAATAAATCAGTTGATCAACTGGAATCATCGATTGCCTTGATTACCTTTCAAAGTTCTTTTCTTCATCAACTTCATCATCGTCGACCTCAACTGAATCGATTTATCTCCAATCATCAGCTTCAGAAAGAGACCTCATCACTTCCTTTGGCATCTTCTATCAGTCATCATCAAACTTGTCGATTCCTCATCAATCCTACATATTCGATTCGGTCATGTCATTCTATTGCTCATCATAATCACTGCTCAGCCGATTACTATCGACCATTCTTCATTGATCACCGCAGCTTTCACAACTATAGCCTATTCCTTGGCATCTCCATTCCTGACGATCAACTAGACTTCCTAACAACCTAGCTTTCATCCAATGGCCTCCACTGATCAAGAGTTTGACCTCGGCCAGCCTTTTCATCATAATCATTCTTATACGACCATCACCCCTACCTGCTCACCCCAGAAGCCTCCAATTCCCATCATTCGAACGCCGATAGATTCATCTACCTCTTCACCTTCAAAACCCTCACCAGATTCGTTTACCTCGACCACTCAGCCTAAGATGATTACAACTTCCACTCGATCTACTCCTTACCAGCCTTCCAAGCTTCAGGTTCTCCTCCAACCCCCGTCCATCTCATCAATACCTTCTGGCTCAACTCCCCCTCTGAAAAAAACTATGCCTATCCCAGCAGCTCATCTAACTGCCGATGTACTTGCTGCTTCGCGACGGTGGTTCTACACATTCGCATTGGTCAACTTTGATTTGGACGAGGGGCCTGGTAAGCACGGGATATTTACTTCTCTCATACAACCCTTCTACTTGGCTTGGATCGCCTCTTTACATCACTCAAGCTGATCTCTTCATTTGATCATCTCTCAGACTTTGATAACTGTTATCCCCCTGCCGATTTTTCGTCTGCTCAGTTGACCAACATCGCCTTCTCCTCGTTTCCGGACTGTGCCAAAACTGGTAGCTTAATGTTCAGCTGGCGGATACCCGCAATTAATCATACCAGCTCTCATCCTTCGCCTGCCACGAGCCTTGCTAACGATCCAACGGTCACAACTTCCTCGCAATATTTGAGTCCTTTATCTGCCTGTCTTACATCAGGCGAACTTAGGCATCAAACTACGTCCATTCCGTCGGCCAATTTCGACCTACATGGCTATGTTTACTTTGTTCAAGAACGTGACCCGGCAGCACCCAGGGGGTACAATCAAAGGTCGTTGGTTCTCGTGCGTACTTCAATGAACACATGATATTTGGTCTCGGTGTTACATCTCAAATGCGTCTGACTCCTTCACCTGGACTTTTGACTTATAGATCACTCACCTCTCGGACTATGCCGGTTTGTTCTCAACCCTCATCTCGCGCTTGGGCCCTTTGTATGCCTCCCAAGGACCCAGTGTACTGGAAGCTGCAGTTCATAACATGGCTCGCTGGTCAGTGACATTATGTCCTATGTTCCCCGAGCTTGTCTTGAAACAATGAATTTCTCATAGACTTTATCTTTTTTCTCGCCATGACAGGCCCGATCCTACTGCAGGCACTGTTCCTGAGTTGCCCTTCCTAGGGCAAGTGCATACCTTTGCCATTCCCCTGTCTAACCAAGCTCAACTCTTGGAGCCACGATCACAAACCAAGTCATGTCTACATGGTGAAGTGCGCCCTGACTCACTCTCGTCTTGTCTATTCCAATACCTGGTGTTGATGTTTTATGCTTTTCATCTGTCAGATTCTTGCTGCTCCGCCTCTCACGTATCTCAGTTCGATTTTGTTTGGCAATCAGGGTCACATGTCACTTTCCTCCATCTGGCTTCTTTGGGAAATTCTAATATTGGCTGAGCCTCTAGTGGTCTTTGGATCTAGTCCTGATCTCGTCAGTGAAGCAGTGACCCATCTGCGTAATCTCATCAGACCAGTTAAGCAATATCCTGCCCCTTTGCATAAATATCATCCACCTGACTTTCGCATCTCCTTTGACCTTAGATCCCTTTTCAGGGTGACTGGCGCCCATACATCACCATCCACGACCCTGATTTCCCCAACCTATTTAACAAGTCCAAGGTAATTTACATATCCTCATTCATTGTAGAAGCAACTTCCTTGGCTAATTGTCCCTCTCAAAGGCCCGCACTGGAGCTTTGATAGGTGCCACCAATCCCATCATCTTATCCAACACACAGTATTGGCCCCACGTTCTATGCCTCTCTTCAAAGCAAGGCACCTTTGGCCTCACAACCGAACGCAAGCGACACCTTCACAAAGATAAAAGCTTTGTGAAACAACTGGATGCGTGTATAGAGCGCAAAGACTGTCAGTATCCATGAGGATCCAAGTTATCATCATTAAATCTAACTTCTGTCTCTCACAGATCACCAAGCAGACGTACTTTTGTCCCGACACTTTGCCTTACTCACCGAGCAATTCTTACAGCCACTTCAGCGGTATTTCACGACACTTTTACCCCAAGACACGTGAGTTGGGTAGATCTTCTTTGCCTATCACCTGCGCTGATCATACTGTTCTCATTCACCTCGACAGATCGCTCTCTCAACCGCGGCGACCTAGTTCCTTTAACCAAGACGTCTTTCTCAAGTCATTGAAAGCACATGCAACTTTGCTGGAGTTTCGCTTCAAAATCTCGACTGGCCTCTCGAACTCGGTGGCTGGGTTTTACACGAAATTCCTTCGGTCACCCAATTTTGCATCCTGGCTTCATAGTCAGATCGATGCTGCTGCCGCTGCCGTCCGTGCTCGGTACCTAGATAGACTTCAATCCCCTATTGAGCTAGATAGTTGGGCCCAGGGAAAAACGCAGGAGCAGATTCATGAATTGCTGGAACGCATAGAGTCTGAAATGGTAGGCTGTCCGACGTCTTTTAAACAACGCGCATTGACTAATTCTGGGTCTTCAAACATCTCTCAACACATTCTTCAGGTTCTATCCAATGAAATCACTACTACCAACCCTTCATCACCTTCTACTCATCCTCTCGACCTCAACTCAGATGCTGGAGATATCTCACATCCAGCTTCACCTAATGCGACTGCCCCTGCATCCATCTTTCTTTCTCCTGCATCCATCTCGTCCCCTGCCAGCCACCATAGTGGCATAAGTCCATCCGGACCTTCAGATATCAAACAACTTCGAATCGAGCGTTTGCGGGCCCAAGCTGATCGGCTGAGAAACATCACGTTGCGTTCATGAATTTTTCACCACTTCCCAAATCTTCATTGTCGAGCATTGCGCTTCCCACCCTGCAGTCATCCCGATCCAAAGTCGAAAGACAAGCCTCTGTGAAGCTTCAGCTCAATAGTACATCAGTGATTCGCCAAGTCCCTTTTACACAAGCTGCACTTCGTTTCTTGCTTCCTCGTAACCATCATTCAATCATGCTCTATGACGAGTACGTCGATCAAAAGTACTACGCAAACTATCAAGTCACCTTTAATCTTGCCATGCTAATATGCATATCCCTTTTTTCAAATATCTATGTACATACGTGTAATGTCTTTCTGGGTGCATCATATTGCGTTATCTGTTTTTTATCATCTGTAAAATCGTCATTGGAACGCTTCTATTTTCAAATCTTTGCATACATCTTTCTTGGAACTTAATCTTATAGAATTCTGTTTTTTTTCTTTTGATTGACAAAGGATAATAATTTTCAAATTAGGAAGAATAAGGGAGTCTTCTTGGATCGGGGTTAGTCATATGAAATGCTTTTGTATTTCTTGCGGGCAATGAATCTTCGAAATGTATGACCACATGAAACCCATACAAAACATTGGTTGTATGTGGCTTCCTTTTGAGAAATTTCTAAAGGATTTCAACGAATGGATCTAAATTTCAGAAGGCTGATCCGAGTCTGATATTTCCGTGCCCCTCCTTAATACCGTTCCCAAATACCAAAACATGACCTCCCATTCAAAAAGCTAGTTACAAGTTAATGCGCAGACAATGACAAACAGACTTGGATCGTAATCCGTGTGTGTAAGGCTGCACATGGCCAGTCAATCTTCCATGATTCTTAAATTGTACAGTGAGTTTCTGGACGTGAAGTAACTCGAGTGAATTTAGCTCCACAATAGCATTACAACCATATCACTCATGACACATTTCCCCAGGGCAGAAACAAATTAATCAATTCCAGTTATTAACAAACTTGTATGGGGTTAAAGGTATACAAACGACAATGGATGGCCATGAGGTATAATGTTTGAAGAATCTATATGATTGTTATCTTACATCCAAATAAGGCTTCTGAGATAATCCCACGTAAAAAGCTTGGGAAGATATGACTTCCAAAACCCAAGTGTCAATAACTCAAAGATTACTTCAGGTAAGACTGGTCCAAAAGGAACTATAAATCTTGTTAATGGCCAATCAGAATGTCGAGGCACTCCACTCTTTCCAAGTCCGTGTGAAACCCTGGTTGTTCATCAAAAGTTGAACGAAGTCAAGTTACCATTCATCAATAAAAAGGTATACTTTGTAGATTGCGACTCGACTGGGACATACCAAACTTCCACACAGGGTTTACCCCATAACACCAAATGCGCTAGAGTCCATAAAAACCCAATAGGACCCCCAACCTGGATTTGATGATGTATAAAGTTGACGAAGTTCAGCTTCCTTGAGGTGATTCAGATGAATCCAATCCATCCTGACCTTTTTACCAGTCAACTTCCTATAGATTGTCTCCATAACAATCCCAAGACCTTGACCAAGAAACATTTTTGTTGTTACAAATGTCCAGTCAATCTTTGTAATTGAAACCAATGCTTCGCAACCGTACAAGAAATTCTTGTGAGCAGAATCCTCAAAGGGAAAATTCCAAAAGGCTTTAAAATTTTTTAAAAGATCAACTCACCAATCTCATGCATGGCTGCGCTACACAACATCGCACCGGCCAACCCGGCTATCTTTGTCGTCACGGGTCCATATCCTCCAAATATCTTGAGAAATGGCATAGCCCCACAATAAATGAAATCGTACCGGAATGTAGCGTGCCAGCCTAACAGTGGGATAATATAATCAGCATCTCAAAAGATCATATTGGCTTCTTTGTCGTCTAGCTAAAGTGGTTTACCCTTTGCCCAGAAATCTGTTAGATTATGTCGCGACCAGGGTGCTGAAAATAAAGGTGGGTACCATACTGGATCAAACTCTTCAGGCTTAAAATCGCTCGGTAGTATAATTCTAGCAAGCCAATACACTGTTACTTCTACTAAGTTGAATAAAGCAGCTAGTAGAGAGAAACCTGAATAAGCAGTCCCCTATTAAGAAAAATCGTCAAAAAAATTATGATCAATTTGTTTCGTATGAAAACCTTGTAGAGAATTCCAACTAGACTCGAGTTTAATGAAAATCTCTCAGAATTGACTCACCCCAAAGACCAAGGTAAGTATATATGGCTTTCATAAAGTACCACACGTTATCCGCAGAGATGTAAAACCCAACGTGCAAGCGGCAAGTAAGCACAACCATATGTTCAGAAAATCAGAGAAGGTTTTATGTTAGCAAAAAGGAAAAATTATCTTTCAGGGAAATTTATATGATTACCGAAACAGTTTCCAATAGTTGAGACGGTGGTAAGCCGACCTCTTCCGTCAAGAATCCATAAGCACCTCTTGGGTTTTGACAAGATGGTACAGCAAAGGCACATGTAGTTAAAAAGAGTAAATGCATTATAATCCCTGTCATGATTGTTTCCCCTACAAAAGCAGACTTAGAAGTAGCTTTCCCTAACGGAACGATGTGAGGAGGAGGCGACCAAGTACATTGTAGCCCACGTGGACTATAGACACCATATTACATTCAACCCCAGAAAGATTCAGTATAAAGACTGGAATTGTGTGTATCAAATCACATCAGTCGAGAATTTCCACGGGGGCAAAGGACAGACCTCATGAGTAGCGCAAGGACAAATTTCGTAAGCTCTCCAATCGAAGGTGGAGTCTTGGGCTTTGTTGCTGCTGTAACCCCATCATGGCTCTTCTCAGGCGACTTGGTTGTATCATGTGTCTTCTTGTTGATCTTCTTTTTTTCTTCCTTGTACGAAGTGTCATTTGATGTGTCATTTCTTGCGGATTTGGCCTGTTCTTTCAAAGCGGCAGGTGACTTGAAAACATCACCTTCGCGAAATGCGAAAATGATAGCCAAACAGACAATGTGGAAACTAGGTAATGAAACCAAAGGGAAATTGAGGTGCATGAATTCTTCGGCGGGTTTCAAGGTCCGCATCGGAACACTTGCAACGGTGATATAGACAACCAGAGGCAAAAGAGCCATGCGAAAGAGTCGTGAGCTAGGTGACGATTCATAATATGGATGAAGTAGGACTGCTTGTAACACGAGTGGGATGATGCCGGAGTAGGCCAAAATAAGAGAAGGTGGAAATGGAAGATATCCCATGATGTAAACTCAAAAATCAAGCCAGGATTAGTTAAACAAGGAGAAGTTGGGGTTGACTTGGTTGTTCAACAGCTTGAGAGGAATTAATACTAGACCAAATCTGGGTGGTTAGGTGTACAAAATTTGGGTGAGGTATAGAATGGCGGTTGAGGTGGAAGACTCTGAAGGGTCATAAATAAGGCGCTTGCAGGGAGATCAGGAGAACGTTTGAAACAAGGAAGAGCGGTCAAAGTATGACTTTCGATTTCCGATTCAAGTCTCCTACAACCTTGAGCTTTGATTTATACCTATTCGCAAGGACGAAAGGACCATCTGGCTACTCCTCAATCTAAGCGGTTCACAAGGATTATTTCCTTTGAGAGGGAAATGACCCCTAATGAACAGACACGCCAGCCGAAAACCAACGCTGAGCTCGCGATTGAACGATGCTAGTCCATATCAACAACTCCGTGAAGGTATGCATCATGGACTTCGTGTAACAGGAAAGTCATCAAGTACGGTTCAGTAACCGAGCCGAACTCCAATTTTGGGAACTTGAACCTTCAAGTTGAAGTTGAACCATGTATCGGGATATAACCCGGGTCAAATGGGACTCCTGACTTACCCTCATCTCATCCCATCTGAACTCGCTTGAATCAAAGATATCAAAGGAGGTTGTAACAGCGTGTTGCCGTGATCTATTGAAAGTTCAAGTGAATTCTTTGTTCATGAAACGATCAGATGTCGCCTAGAAGCATGTAATTCAATTTCCACGTACCTAGACGTTTTTCCTGTAGACACAGATCGGGTCAAAGGTCTGATGAAGGCTGTCGACCGAATTAGACCACTTGGGCCCGGAGAGTGGATTCTGTTTGATTGCGACCGTGACATCTACACCTGAAGAATGACTCTATGCAAAATCATATGCAATAGTTTCCAATATCTAGCTGTCAGCTGATCGGATTCAAGCAAGCAATCACGACAAACTCCCCGCCAATTCGCTCGAGTTTTGCGGGCAAAATTGAGCAAGCTTTTCTTAAATGACTGTACAAGATGATCACAATGAGGACGAAGAAGATTTCCATCCGTATTGTGAGTTTTGAACCATCCTTTCCTGATAAAGTGTGCCGTTCAAAATTTATTTTTGTGTCTGGATGGGAAATCATCAGTTTGTTACAACCCGCGGAATTCATGCCTTTATGAGATGTACGCCGTGAGTCAGCCATAATTTGTCATGAATAGATCAAAAGCTTGGTGAACTGAGGACAATTTGTTTTCCTTTACAAGAATGTACCAATGCAATAACACAATAGGTCACAAACACAACAATGCTTAGGCAAATCTTACCATCCTAAGAATGGTAAAAAAACTCATCTATTTTATCACAATGGAATTACAGCAAGACCCTGGAAAGCACTATTGGAGCCTGCCCAGAACACAAGGCTTTTGCATACCAGCATAGTGTGAATCCATGTGCAGTTCTGCATAATTGATAGGCAAAGAGGATGCACCCAAACAAGAGCTATTGAATGTCACACTTTTGGTCTAACCTAACTGTACTAAATCTTCAAAGGGTGGAAAGAAATATCCTTTGCTTTTCATGTGAGACATGATGAGTTTGGCAGAACTTCAGCAAAGCTAAACCAATGATGATCAACACAAGAAATTCAGTGTCTTTCTAAAACCAAACCTCTTGAGAAACCCCATTGAAAAAAATATTTCCAACAAGTGGGTTTGGTGAACAAAAGTGACAAACTTCAGACACAATTTATTCCATATAGTTCATTCTGATTCCCCTCCCAGGTGTATTTCTCAAAACTCAAGTCAAGAGTGAAAATCAGAGAATGTTTTGTATCTTTGGGGACCTCTGTTTCAAAGATCCAGACTTTTTTTATTTTTTCACACCAGAGGCATGTCTGGCCTGCTGAGTGTCACCTAGTCACAGTGTAAGGTTTGTTTTGATATCATGTTTCATTCCAAAAGGCATACCAACTCCTTTCTTGGCATTTATGTTGGAAATGTCAACATAGCACTAAACCCAAAAGTATTCAAACTCAAACCATCCTGGGCTAAGGTCCTCAAAGCGGTAAATCAACAACACATCCAACATCCAACATCCAACAACAATGCCCTACAGGGTCGCTAGCAGTTCATACAACAAACCGTAGCTACCATGATGCTAAATACAAAACAATGTAATCACAAAACCAACTATATAATTATAATCAGGGGCAATCAAAAATCAAGTAGTAAGAATGTTGCCATAGAAACCCTTTGAAAAGAATATTTTTTACCATTTCCTTGTCCTAAAAGACTTTTTTTGAAAACCTTTCAATAATAAGCTAATCAAAGAACTAAAAAACTTTGTTCTCAAGCTAAACAGGGCGGGAAGGCAGGGCTGTCAAAAATCTTAACTAAGCAATTTCAAGGGTTCAGAGGAAAGATTTACAGAAGTGATGATGAATGATAGGATGGTAAAGAAAAATGGTAATTTATGATTAACAGGAATGATGTCAATCATCTCAAAAGTTAATATAACAGTCAATTAAGATACCCAACTCATCACTACAACATTTTCACACAAGGACCTATTATTTATGACATTCCAATCAGTAGATAGCAAGTGTCCCACTATGTCATCTACCATAAGGCACATCCAAGGCGTGTGTTTTTGCACCGCGCCCACACCCTGACTCACATCAGCTCATACCCCTGCAGTCCAGAAAGATGGGCCATAAAGAGCTTGGAGGTCTCTCCAAGTTTTCTGCCTTTTTTCTTCCAGGTTCATCCCATTTTTCTCGTCTGTGTCCTCCCTGCTCCTCATTTTTTGACATGTTCAATGTGAACTGAAGAGATGAGCTGCACCTCAGGCTTCATGCTTTACCCAAGAGGCCTGAGGAAGAGCTAGCCCATCCACTTAGAGTCAGGATCCCTCGTCTTCAGCCTAGTGAGTACAGGTCCCTTGATCCTTTGGCAGAGTTAACAAAATTGAATGCAATTTCACGATTGGCTAAGATACAATTATCAAATGTATAACGAAGAATACAAAGAGATCACATTGCAAACATGAACGATCAAGCACTTCACTTTTCTTCATACCTCTCAAGCGAACACACGCAAATCAACACAGTGTGCCGCCATCGAGTTGTTGAAGGCTTTCTTTTCAGGACTTCGAAGCTGGTCTAATGGCAAGCTTGAGACATTGTCGGCTAGCCATCTTGTCCAACGCCTTTTGGTATTCTTCAATTGAGAATATATCCTGTTTTTTTAGAATGACCAGTAAAAAATCACAATATTAGTTTGTTTCCAAGCCTTTGATCACAGGTATGTGAGAGTTTCAGCTCACGGTAACCATTCCATCTGTCCGAATCTTACCAGAATCACTTTGTAGTGCAAAAGGTAGGTGACAGCAAAGCAATGATGGATACCTGGTCAGCTCATTGCTAAAACAGACTTTTAAAAGACAATAGACTCAACAGGTAAGCAACAGCTCGCGGGAAGCAATGGCTGGCGAAAATAAGTTTGTGGTATCCATGTCAGCTGCTTCAAATCTCGACTGATGATTGGAGAGGCAAAGCTGTCTTACATTTGAGCAAACGATCCGACGATGTTGATTTCATCTACAAAGATCTTCGTAGGGGACCACGACACTCGGGCTGCATCATCATATACTCCATAGACCAACCTAGACACAATGTATTAGTGGCGTAGATGAACAAATAAGAGTATACGGTTGTGACTTACAAAGTACCACCTCGACGCACATAGTTGATACTGTCGTTCACAATGGAAGCCACCCCAGTAGCTTCAACTACGATGTCAAAGCCGCGCGGGTTGTCTTTCTTCAATTGAGCCCATTGTTGAGCCGCATCTTTTCGATCAAGATCGATGTATTCACTGAAATGGTCAAACCACATTTTGGCATAGTCAGTGGTCTCTAAGCGTCTGAATTGAAATTATGGGGAGGTTATAAAATTTACTCGGCAGCCTCAATCTTACGCGCTATGTCCTGTAGTTCCCAACACGCAACGAATCAATAAGCGATGGACAACAAACGTGACACAGTGGATGACCAGAATATATGGCCACTCACCATCTTCATCCCTTTATTCGCAGCCAAAACAACTCGTTGGACTCCATTCTGTTTGAGAAGTTGAGCCAACATGAGGCCTGTCGGGCCAGCCCCAATCAACAAACATTCGCTACCAGGCATAGGGCGAATCTTGTCAAGGCCATGAATAGCGCAAGAGGCGGGTTCAACTAAAACAGCTTGTTCGTCGGTGAGATTTTTGATCGGAAACACTTTGGCAGCATCGAATTGAACGTATTCCGAAAACCCGCCATTGCGAGTTACCCCGTGGGCCTCCAGATCTAGTGAGAACGTGCGCGAAGACTCGATTAACTTCAAGTCATTGGAAATACTCGATACTCGAAGGCGAGTGACCACTGAACTCTACTTACTTTCGCAAAACCTGATAGACAGGAAAAGCAACGTTCATAAAATGGTCAAAAAGCGTCCTCAAAGGAGGCAATTTGGATCCGAATCCGTGAATTGTCAAAGACGTACAAAGGCTTTCCTCTTTTACAAAAGAAACATGTACCGCAGACTTCGGTATTGTCGCAGACCACTCTATCTCCCACCTTGAAATTGGTGACATTTTTGCCAACAGCCGCAATGGAGCCAACCACCCTATAATCCAAAAGAAAGGGACAGAATCATAGTTCAGAAAAGCTGCATGAGAAGCTGCATAATGTGGGGTAAGGAGTGGCAAAAAAGACTAAACTCGTGACCGGGGATTAAAGGAAATTTCGAGATGAATTCCCCTTCGTGAATGTGTCTGATCGGGTAAAGACAAGAAGTGCATGGATGAGAGACCGGTTATATTTGGTTAAAGGTTGAATGTCTGTAAATACTAAACTGATCGGTACCACACACACCACACATCAAGACTTTTGAGTGAGATGCAAAAGGTCAAGAAGCGAGACAGAAAGCATGGTGAGTGATTCCGAGTGAACACTGGCGGAGAACAATCAAGGTAAACAGCGATCAGTTACCTTTGACCAAAACCTCGTTATCGCTATATTGAGGAACATCAGCCTGAATGACCGAGAAGTTTCTTGGCTCTTTGTAATAGAGCGCAGTCATCTTGGAAGGAACATCGCTGGAAGACATGATTGCTTGCTATAACGATGATGATGATGATGATGATGATGATGCTAGATTGAGATGAATTGATTGAAATGATTTGATGAAAGTAGTAAAGACCTGGTTTGTGTTTTTATAGTGGCAAGTTTTAGAAAATCCAACTTGAGCTTATTTACCTGGCGGACGGTCAAGTAGCTGTATTTATGATTTGCTTGAAACACGTCATCGTACCTCTCATTACCCACCACCACGTCATTCTAGCAACCATGAACTCAATCTTCACACTGACACCGAGCTCGGACTTTGATACACGATCATTAACCTTCAACTTCCATAGATAACAATGGATCAAACAACTCAAACTTCCCTCACAATGGCTTATCACGATCGAGTTAATCGATGGGTTGTTGTATACCAAATGTAGGAATAATTTTGTATCTCGAGATAAATAACTGTGCGACAATTATCACACATGTCACATATCCATCCTCAATATCTCAACGGCCTATAAGAGCTGTTAGGAGCTGTTACTGCAGACTTTCGGTTTCTTGGTCCACCGAAGAAGAATTTGTTTTTATATGCACTGGTTGCCCTCTGGGTTTCAAACGCTTTTGTACTTACTTCGTATCTTAGTTTGAAGGAACAAGGCGCTTACAATGGTCAATGTGAGACTTGAAACCACAAGAGACCAACAGAATGAACCAGACACGTTCGTGGGTCAGGTGCGCCGGAAATGTTCCTATTATCCAGATGTCATGTGACACCTTAACTCCACTTATAAGTACCACCGGAGACAAAGGCCTCTCTCCTTGCAAATTCAAATTAAAGTAATTTCATGGGATGCAAAGGTGGTGAATTTTTCAAGTTAAAAATTGAAGGTAACTTATATATCAGATAATCAGATGACCTGATTGCCTTCATGGAGGCGGCAACTCACCCCAATTCAACTCTCCTCTCAACTAAGTCTAGGGGGTCAACTCCTTGGCAAGTTAGTATGATGAACTACCTAAGCATACCCGTGGAGTATCAGAGTCACTTAAACAGTCAAGGCATTTTCAAAGACATTCTTTAATCAGGCTAATCTTGATCAAGATGCATTATGTACTTTTAAGACCATAAAAATCGATACTGAGGTGCGCTGAAATTGCTGATGCTGTCTTTCTCTTATCGGAACATGATCTTCCATTCCACGTACCTTGGGAGCTGCTTGTCAAGAAATTTTGCCAAATTAATTGAGACACATTGTCAGGATCAACTTCAAACTATATAGACAAAACATAGATGTAAGCGAAAAATATTTTTTATGAAAAAGCTCAGAACTGCAAACTAAACAAATCAACACAGAATGGCATACAATTCTTGGGAGGGAAATATTTTGAACTGTAAAGCAAACATAAAACAAACATAATTGAGTTATTTTTGTAAAAAAAATGGTGAAATCGAGTCTGAAGTTGAAAGAGTGCGTCCATAGACAAGAAACATTGCTACGGAGAAAACAAATGTGAAAGGTTTATTGTCACACAGAGACTTGAGGATGAGGATTGAAAATGTGAAAGGTATAGAATTGAAAAAGTTCTCATCAGCTTGGTCACCAGGTTCAAGGTCGTCAATTCTTATATACATTTTGGGTTTCTCTTGAGTAATGCTCTAATATGTACACGCATGAAGAAGTCTCAACGTTCTAGATGCTTTGGCAGAATGGGTATATTGGCGTTCATTCCTCTACTTAGATTCCTGGTACCTTACACTCGAGTCCAAGTTTTCTCAGCTCTGTCTTATCATCATCTGTGCATCTAACACAATTTTTCACAGTCTGTATTTAACCCGGTCACATGTTTCAAGTCAAATAAATCAGCACAATGCACTCCAAATGCAGGTAAAAGTAATTGAACGTGAGAACAGATGAAAAGACTCACTTTAAGGTAATTACGTTTAGCTCCTTTTCGCCCTAAGACATCGCCATCTTTACAATGCAGTTGAAATCCCAAGAAGAATGACACCCTTCGAAATTTGCATTATGATATGCCAGTTGAATACCAATAGTCAGTCAATATCATCAAAAAAACGTGATTGACGGACAAACAAACCCTTTTAAATTCTTCAATATAGTTTTGGCAGGACCCTCCCCAATACTTCTAAGTCCAGCATTAATAGCATCATATACAGCCAAAGCATTTACTATATACTGTCTATCCAATGTGATGGGGAAGTTTTTCATTGCAAACTTTACTGCGCTCACTCTGGTATCTTTTAGAAAAGATATTGTCGTCTATGTGTGAAAGGCAAAACAAAATGGTGTAATGGCAAATTGATTTTCAAAAGAAAAATTCTGTCAGCGTATCAAGTAGGACAGGTATCAAAGCAATAAATACTTGTAAAACGTTTATACTCACAAATTGAATACGCGAATTACCCTCGCCAAATTCTACGTCAGGTAGAGTAGACAGGGAATCGAAGGCTTTGCTCTTGAATAGATGAAAGTGAAAATCAACATCAATTGAAACGTAATCATTTCTTGATCGGAGTTGATCCTAGATGATTGAAATCAAAATATCCCTTACATTTGGTATACATTTTACATTCGAATCAGCTTTAACGTCCGATGGTAAAGGCGAACTTCCCACTAAGAAACATGGCTTAGCACCATCATCTGCTCGAACAAGGACCGGCCCTATGTACGTTCATTGAAAAATTAAAGAACATTTGATATCAGTCAAAGAATGCCACGATGATATTCTTGAACTGCAGCTTGAATTTACCTGAAAAGAATGACACAAGGAAGAGTGATGCGATATACATGCGATAACACATTTTATAGTGGTTATTAGTTCTTGATGACTATATTGGTAAAAAGTTGAGAGTGTCAAAGTCTGCTTATGCCGAAGGTATCAGATTTTAAGTGATATGTACAGTCATTTAAGAAAAGCTTGCCCTAAATTGCCCGCAAAACTCGAGCGAATTGGCGGGGAATTTGGGGCAAGCTTTTCTTAAATGACTGTACAAAGATGAGCTATGTTGAAGTGACCGGCTTTTATGTTGTGAGTGGAACGAGAGTGCTGAGTTCGATTGAATTCGTCACACACCCGGCCAGCATAGGCCAGCATCTCCCGAAGCCAAATCAAGATTCGCACGTCTTCTCACTTCTAGATGGTCATAGTAAACTGTATAGTCGATCGTCCACAAAAACTTGTCGTTCCTACCATCGTGAAGGTTTCAATGGACCTCCATGTGCAGTCGAGTTAGGTCGAGTTACCCGCAGGACTCAAGTGAATTGGCGCCATTCCGTTGTCAAGCTTCAAGAAATTGACTGTACATACATGAACCACTCATAACCTCATAACAGCTCATAACTTGACGATGATACAGGATGATACGTAGCATTCAGATCACAAGAGATGGGGTAGCAATCGCACTACGAAGCAAAGAAAGCAACCTACAAGAACCTGCATACGTCTGTCTCTGAAAAAAACATGGACACATGTGAATAGTTTGATTGCTATGGAGAACATCAATAACCTTTCTACAGTACAGCTCAGAACAGCGAGCGGCGTCCGCACGGTGTACGAACTTCACTTACAAACAAATCACGGCAAATTATAAAACAAACAAATTAGTGACATTACGAATTAAGTTGAAAAAACATTATTTTTTTGTCCTTTAGAAAAAAAAGTTTGCTACAATATAGAAAAAAGTTTGCAAAGATGCTAGTGTCACACAGAGACTTAGTAAGCAATTACAATGTTCAAGGTCTCAATCAAAAAAGATCCAAAAAAATCAAAGAGTTTGGTCTCCAACGTCATCACTTCTTGTATCCATCTTGGACATGTTTTTGGTGATACCCTACCGCATAAAAAGCCTAAACGCTCCAGTTGCGTTGGTAAAGTGGGTATATTGGCGGTCAATCATCTATTTCAAATTCCTGGTACCTTACACTCGAGTCCAAGGTTTCTCAGTGCTTTCTTATCATCATCTGTGCATTTATAACAATTTTTCAACGTCTATATTGACCAAACGCAGTCAGGAGTGAATTGAATCAGAACAATCCACTTAGCAGTTAGGTAAAATTAATAACGTGAGGACGGATGAAAAAAACTCACTTTAAAATAATTACGTTGAGCTCCTTTTCGCCCCAAGATATCCTTATCTTTGCAATTAACTTGAAACTCCAGGAAAAATTCCACTCTGTAATATCATCATAAGATAATGGACAAATTCAATAATGAGATTCAGTCAATAATTCCAAAAAAACATAATCAATATTTAAACGGACCCTTTCAAAGGGCCCAAAAAAATTCCAGAAGGACGGTCCCCAAGACTTCGGAGTCCAGCATTGATAGCTCCATATAGAGTCATTGCATTTACTAGATACTCCCTATCCTGAGTGATGGGGAAATGATTGATTGCAAACCTGACTGAGCTCACTCTGGTATCTGTTAAAAAAGAGATCGCCGTCTAGGTATAGATAATAAGAAGAACAAGATCATGTATGTAATGTCACATCGATTTTGGGAAATAAGAGATTTGTAATCATATCAAGTTCGTTAACTAGCTATCAAATCGATATTCAATTGTAAGAAGGTTGACTTACAAATCGAATGAGGAAGGCATCTTTGCCGAATTCCACGTCGGGAAGAGCATTTAACGAATCAAAGGCTTTGCTCTTGAATACGCGGACGTGGAATTGCACATCAATTGAAAAGTCCTCATATCTTGATATGACTGGAATTAAATAACTCGAATTAGAAATATCCTCACATCTGGTATACATCTCACATTCGGATCAGGTTTAACGTCTGATGGTAGAGGCAAATTTCCCACTAAGAAACATGGCTTAGCACCATCACTTTCTACAGAAAGGACCGTTGCTATATAAGTGTATACAAAAACCAAAGCCCATCCAAGATCAACTGAATGAAGCAAAAAATGTCGTCTTGATTTGAGTTAGGTTTGACATTACCTGCGAAAAATAACACTGCGAAGAGTGATGTGATATTAATGTAACGAAACATTTTTCACTTGAGGTGATTAGATCTCAATTAGTATCTATATAGCTAAAAAGATGACACTGTCAAGACTTGATGATACTGGAGGGTATGAGTTTTATCACTTGACACTATATAACTGAAAAAATGACACAGTCGAAATTCAACTATACTGGAGAATACTAGATTTAATCACTATATGTGTAAAAAGATGGGCCTATGTTGAAAGTGGAGGGGATATGATCAAGAACGCATCTATGTTGAAGTGGCCGGCTTTTATATAAGTGGAATGAGAAAGTGCTGAGTTTGATTGACGCGCTACCTTGGGACCCGGCCACCATCTCCCGAGTCCCGACGCCAAATCATCGATATTTGGATGTATTTATTCCTCAGAATCCCAGTTCTTGTGGTCATAGCTGCCGAAAAGACAACGATCTCCCTCGCTCTGACTAGATAGCCAGTACCCTGAGGCAGACTACTCTCCTATTTTCTGTAACTTGTTTAGCTAGTGTTCAACGCGATAAAGCGTACATGCACTTTCAAAAAAATGGTCATAGCAAACTATATAGTCGATCGTTCAACAACCGACCCAAAACTCCTTGTTCGCCTACTATCATGACGGTTTCATGGACATCCATGCCCATACATCACTCATAACTTCACGAGCATAGCATTCAGATTACATGAGATAGGGCAGCAATCGTCTTCGATAGTGAAGCAAACAAAGCAACCTACGCCGGGCTACGGTTAATTGTCGAGACTAGACAACAGACTGAATGGCATTCATGTTTGATCCAACTTGGGCTGTGAAGTTGCCTCTGCAAAAAACATGAACATATTCGAATGCCAAGTATAGAATCTCAAATGACCTTTCTACAGTACAGCTCATAACATCGAGCGGTGTCCGCACGTTGCCGTATGTTTTTCTGTGAAACCAGTTTTTCAAGACCCCGCATGCGACCAACACCTCTTGCATCAATCCTTGAGTTCCGAACCTTTTTGTCAACTACAGAGGGTGCCATTCACTTCGGATTCACTGACCGCTGGTCACTGTCTACATCCTTCGAAGGAGCGTTTTCCAGTTGGTACATAGAGGTCAACTCATACGCCGCGATGTATCGAGCTGCTTTATCCTCGTAATCAATGGAAGAAGCTTAGATGTTGAGGTTGGAATAAGATCCTGAGTAAGCCAATATATGACGGTGGGTTTCGGAATTAAGAATGGTGAAGCACTGCGAGACAGTCTTCCATCCAAAATTAGAGGTATTCAGACTTCAACGTGTCTAAGGAGCGTATAGAGCAAGGACCTGGCCTACTTTAGGGCCGTCCAGAAACAAAGACCCATCAGAGTTCGCGGGTTCTTCTGCTCCGCAAAGCGTGTAACAGTTTCTCTTCAGCGCACGCGGAAGGGGTGGTCTGCCTCTCACTCATAAAGATGAGTGAGAGGCAGACAAACCTATCGAAGCACGTGAGGGGAGGAAGGGCGCCTTCCCTGTTCTATCAAATTTCCTTTAACTTTTTCCACTTCATTTCTTGTGTATTACACCGCTACTATGTGTACGACAAAATTTAAATGATCAAAGAACAAGCTGTTCGGGCAAGTGAAGCTTATCTGAGACTTTGATAAGTTTATAAGAAACATCGGCCACTTCAACGGTTCTTCTGCATATTTCCACGATTTGTACCTTGTTAACCCTGTGTACATCCAACTGAAGCTTTGAGATGTGCCCTCCAAATCAAGGATTTACTCCAAAGCTATCCCGTTTCTGGGAATAGAAACTATGCTGGGTAAGGCGCCAATGTGGAATATTTGATAAGGATATGTACTATGTAGTGAATCGAATGCTTCGACGCGACCCCCACCTCCGGGCTAGTTAAGCACCATCCACAGTGCACACAAACCGGGCTGAGGGTCAATACCTGCGGGGTTGTCCAATGTTCATTCGATGTTGTCACTCGAAAATTTCTTTTGCGACGCTTGTTCGATCTTTCAGATTTGGTCAAATGATTGTTTCTGTGGCAAATTCTGCCACTTTGAAAATCAAATTTATAATAACACACTCGCCACTACATCCTTAGTTTCGATTTTTTCCAATCAATCGAATTTGAGCTGTGGATTTGTACCCTTCTGCGCCGATACTTGATTGTCGATCACGCGGGGTACAAATTGATTAACAGACATCAAATACGAAAATCGGCCTTTGGTTTGGTGGAACGGTCCCTATGGTACCCTTTACCAAAACTCAAGGTGGAGATGAGTAGCGGTGCCGGTGAGATCAACGTGGTACTCTTAAAAGCATACGAATGTTGAGATTATGAAGAGAGCGATGGAAAGCCAGAACTCCATCTTCCTCTTTGGTAAATTATAAAGTCTGGGTCCGCAAACTATCTTTCCGGAGCCACGCAACCTGGTCCTTGCTCAAGTTCTTTCTTGTGGCATAGATCTGTGCCTCCATCTAATTAGCTGGTGCGATCTTCGAAGCGCCCGTCCGTCTTCCGTATTGCCTTATCGTGATCTGTGAGAGTTTTTCCTTAAACGGCATCTGACTCTCAGAGAAAGACTGACTCTCCTGACACGCGTTCTTCCCAGTGATCTTCATGGATCAATCTTCTCCTCCTGTTCACAAACTCTTCACGTAAGACCTTTTTCTAAAGAAAAGTTTTCAACGGAATTTGTGCTGCGATTCCACACAAAGCATCGTGGTAAAAAGCTAATGAAGATATCGGCCTGGTCTTTGATTAGCTACGGGACTCTGATGAACATACCTATCCTTGAGCGTGTCTTAGGGAGAACGGTAGATGATCTGAAATTTATGCCTGCTATTCTTCTAGTTAGTCCTCTCCATCCATTCTTTTTAGAAGAGCTTTCTTTTCTTGTGGATTTCGGTTGGAAAACCTTGTCGATGCTGCCACAGAGTATGGGATATGGGCCAACACTGGCTAACATCACTCTGCTCAAACTCTCCTATTGTACAGAATCATTCTAGACTAAAACTTCTTGATGCGGATTACCCAGCTGCTGTTCCAGTTTCTACAGCAAAATCCATCCTGGGGCGAGGATTGACCGCCGAGGAGAGTGAGGTACACGGCAGACTCATCATTGGTCTCACGCCGACTGACCTATTGCGTCTGGATCGATTTGAAGGTGAAGGAGAGGTAGGTAAAATCCTTCTCAACGAATTTATCCGCGCTGATATGGTGACTTATATTTATCTAAATCATAATCCTGCTTTGCTGTGATCTGCATCACGGGAAAATCGGTCGACCATAAGCGTTACAACTCCATGATCCTATCTGTCACTGTTATTGATGAATCGCAAGACAACTCCATCTCCTCAAACGACGAGCAAACTATTTTAGGAGATAACGTCGAGGCTTCAGTATACATTTATTCAGATGGATTGAGATCAAATCTAGCGCCCGTCTTCTGGACTCATGAAGAGTTTTCAAAGAATCATCTCCTGAAATGGACTCAGGACCAACTCGCAGAATTCGACATATTTGAGGAACGAAGAGAGATATAGGAGTTTGCTTTGCCTTATGCTGATGTTGTTCAACTAGATCATCACCTCATGTCTCGAGAATCTGTGGTTAACCTCAACATTCTTTTCGGATAGTGAGCATATCGCGTCATAAACACGTATAAACCTTTCATTATTTGATACATTTGTGTTTCATCAAATCCTCAAAACACGCGCTTCAGCATTATGATATAAATTAACATCAAACACAATGCATTCTAATTGGAACCCCTAGAAAGTATTTGCAAATGATCAAGTGTCTACTGAGCCTTGCCTGACACTGTCATAAATAAAAAAGATAACTGCAGTTTGTTTTGACTCTCTTAAAGGTGTCCGCTTTGTTATACTTGAATCTTAGAGATCAAGTCAAGATACTGAATCACTTGAGAAAATGGTGCTGTTTGTATTCTCTGAAGTCAGTCAACTTCCCCCATTCTAGCTCCCTGTATCCAGCTTACAAGAGGGGCAGATATCTAGAACCCTCCATGGTGCACTCATGTGTCTTGAAGTTGATATGATTGTTTGTGAGAATGCTGGAGCTGACCAATTTTAAGAGAGACAGGTTAAACATCTTCATAGCCACAGATTGACCTATTTGGACAATTTCAGAAGTGCAAGAAAGTGAAGAAAGAAGTTCAGACCTCTTTATTGAAGGTTGTACTATCTGATGAATGAAAACACTTGGAGGAAATATGTCTGTCACTCCAGCTGAGAAGACCTGTTTGTAAATCTGCCACACATTGAGTTTTTTGCACAACCCCGTCAAGTAGCCCGGACTGACCCATTTTGATATGCCAATGGCCAATATGAAAATACTCAGCTCATGTCCCACACCACTGCCAGCATTAGCCTTGGTAGGATCAGGCCTAGCCTGGGAACATGATTGAGAGTAGAATGGGCCATAAATTCATCTTGCACTGCAATTCTGAGCCATAAAGCATGTGCTACACGTGTGCAAACATCTGAGTAACATGTAATGCATTCTGTGAATTTGTCCAGACTCCAGATTGAGACAACCATATCAAAAAATTGACTACACCTGGGCAATATTCATGAAGATGTTTAACAGTCCAAGAAGGCAAAGCTAGTCCCCAAGACCCATGTTTGCATCTGGGAACCTGTTTGATCCTGGCAGTGCACAGTACAGTGTGTATCCTCTGCAGCAATTCTGCAAGCGCAATTGTGTACCATCCCTTCACTATGTTAACAGGCAGGTCAATGTTGAACCACTGTGAAAAGATCTATCATGAATCACTTCTAAATCCATCAAAACTGATATATGCAAAAAGCCACAACAAAAGAAGAAATAAAGAGCATCAAAAAGGTAAAGTAATTGAAAAAAAAGTATAGAAAGTGAAAAAAATTTTAGAAGCTTTGGGTAAGAAAGAAAATATTACATAGGGTTAAACTCACACACAAACTTGTAGAGAAAGAAAAAAAATGGATGAATGTGATAGGATGAGTTAGACAAGAAAAAAACTCCTCGTGTATCACATAATCAAAAATCAAAAAAAAGAACACATAAACTCTTCTTTTTACAAACTTTCAACAGGTATTCTATAATGGTTAAACCTTGTATTTGTTGAACTTTTCATCATTCTGTTGTTTGGGTATTAGAGGAATCCAAACAACTGACAAGAAATGATGAGTTAGAGGATCCTTAAAGGACATTATTGATCGGGTTCAGATAAAAGTGTATCATGTACAAGATTGAGAGCTTTAGTTGAGTCTCGATTTGAGATTACGCATGAGATATTGATCTCCGATGCTCCTTGACTGATCATCTCAATATTCACATTTCCTTGAGCAAGTGTACTACAGGAAGAATTCAATAGAGTGGGAATATCATGAGTAAATCAATACCCACCGTTTGTAAATACGTGATATCGAGTTCACTGGGAAACTCTTATATCGGATGATGATGAGAAACGTAATGAGCGTACCTGAACATCTTCCCAGCAATTCCAACCATATTTTTCATCTGTTTACCAACAAGTGATAAGATGGCCATTTCTTTCAATACAGACACTTGTCCAATATCCTTCAATTCACAAACCAACTTATCTAATCCACCTCCTGGGGCTTGATAAGTCTCACTGAACTTCATTGCCATACTGACATGAACCTCACTGGTAGAGATCAGATCAACAACGATACCAAATTTATCCAGGATACCAAAAATTCGAGCAAAAAACCCATGTGAGATCGTTTTCCGATTAGAGTGAATGTTCAGCACAACAATCGTGTCTTTGATCGTCACCGCTGTGGGTGACTTGCCGTTGCTATCGGGTGTTGTGTGGTCTTGGTCTGTCCGAGGAGTGCTAAGTGTTGGAGATGAAGGATTGGATGAATCAGGGTAGATCACTGTGCCTGCTCCAGTTGGGTTCATCACGTTTTTGATTCGGATTGGAATGGAAGCTCGTATAGCTTGTTCCATGGTGAAGGGATGAATCACTTCTGATCCATAATAAGTCAATTCTGTGATGGACAGCAGAGTCAGGCTCTTGCTTGGGTTTTTGACATCAGGAAAGTAAAAATGCCAGACTGACCGGCTGCTTCCTCAGGAGTCACCACACTTAATAGTCGAGCCCGAGGCACTTTACGAGGGTCTGCAGTAAAAATTCCGTCTACCTCTTTCCATACCTGTAGCTCTGTAGCTGACAAGCCTACAGCGCACAAAGCTGCACACAAATCTGTGTAGCCTCGGCCGATCTGGGAAAGTAGTGATCCTGGAACCACACCAAAGAAGCCTGCAAAGACAAAGAAGACCATTAAGTTGTGTCATCCCAGATCGAGGTGGTGAATGGTGAAAAATCGCTCGACTGACCAGTGATGACCGGAATCCGATTCCCGCATTGTTGTAGGCGTTCTCCGAGTTTGAAAGCTAGCCGATCATAGAACGGCTGTCGCAGTTGACCACCTGGACCCATCGATAAGTCTTCTTCAGCCGCCCATTGTATATCGGATTTATCGACGATCGAGTCCAAGCAAACAAGCTCTGCATCAAATCCCTAGTTCGATGACCGATTTACAGAATCAGCTTGTCATATTTTGATCTAATGGCAGGATTATAAAGTTTTTAGACTTACCTTATCGATCAAACAAGCTGTCACAATACGACATGACAGCTTTTCACCAACACCAATTATCAAATCTTTTGACCGGGGTGAAATTTCCTCCAAGATCTAAGATGAGGAAGGTGGAAAAGCCTCAAAGTCAGCTTTATCCTGACTAATTCCACAAAGACACAAAAGGCTGACTTGGGCGGCTAAAAGAAAACTTCGTAAGCGGTCACAATCATAGGTGATATCCAACTCTAGTTCGCTGAGAAGTTGAGGATCTTGAATAACCTCTCTAGCAGCAGCCAGGTGATCGAGTTTGATTTTTTCAACCGTGGAATCAAACCGAGTAGCACTCAGCCCGAAATCGGGATCGATATTCGAGGTATACCCCGGGGTGAGTGGAGATGTGCACCCAAGAATGGCTGAATTCGTGCGCGAAAGTCTAGGGGAGGAAGTACCGCGCTGGAGAATTTGCGAAAGGAGGAGTGGATTTGGGCCTTCAGCTCGATTGCTACCAGGCGTGGTAGGCCGAGTGGTCGGGGTGGCAGGTACCACAGGGCAGTCAAGCGGTGGAAGAAGGGCCTCGTTCCCAGCTTGGAGTAGCAGATTTGTCGTACCAGTGCTTTTCGTGTCACCAGATCTTGCTGAACAAACGATCGCCACGCGATAACCTGCATCCAAAGAGGTCCTATTGTCAACAGTACTCAGCGATCCATCTCACTCAGGCTTTTGGACAAATTTGATAGTAAAATCATGGACGACACAATGCGGGCAAACAACAGGATGTTCTCATCCTAGAGGATGGATATTGAGCAGTAAAAAATAAAGTAAGTTTTCACATACGGAAGAGTATAATTAGGAATGTTCATCAAACATTTCCCAATGCTGGTCCCACCGTACTTCTGAATCACCCATTTTGGATGATGATCCCGATCGGTCACTGGGTTTGCACGTAATACCCGCTGTGCCGCTACTGTGACTACCGTCTCGACTGGAGCAGAGAGTGCAGATGACATTGCTAAGATGACAGCTCTTGAGGACTATAAAGTTGATTTGATTTGGACGTATTGAGCTTAAAACGTGAATTTTCTGCCTGCTCGTTTAGTGTGAAGTGTAAGTTGCATACACCGGCTCGGACTTCAGCTAGAGCTTTTGTCCGTTCGGAATTTGAGATGACTCTCTATCTCGGTCTTCTTTAGACACTTCACGGGAGGCGTTGAACCGAAGATGAGAGGCTGGATTGGTTGTGCGAGAAAAATCAAGGTGTCTTTGATAGAAGCTTCTAGATACGTATAAATTAATTGTGTGGTCTTTTTGGTCGAGGTTTTTGTCTCTCGATGTGAAAGATTGCTGGTGTTCGGTTTTGACTAAATTTCACGATGAGGATTCTATGCAAGGTTCACTGATTCTGATCTCATGTTTTTAATCGGTCGTTTAGCGAGAATGAAATGAGACCCTTATTCGATGACTATAAAGGAAGAAAGTTATATTTAAGTATCTATAAGCAGAAAAAGATTGATAAACTATGAGACAATGGAGGATCGTGCTTTGCGTCTATTCAGAAGTTTTTGTGTGCCAAGGATCGAAAGGTGATACGGATCGAAACGAAGAAAATGGAATATCGTCTTTCTTATGTATATGATGCCTTCTTGAAGAGCCAGATGAAATTGTTCTATTATTCAAAGTCTATGTATGATGATGAGAAGTGATATATATAGGTAAACGCTATTGATTATGTGAACCTGAGACTTGAGATCTTCCACTGAAACTTGAGTTCGTTCTGAATTGAGATGCAAACCAAATGTGGATGAGCGAAGTCCGATAAATGCGGAGATGGGGTAAGGAAATTACCAGCTGTCGATTCGCCCTCTTCCCCTCGAATTCGAATAATCGCAATTTGTGGTTTTCTGGAATACTGTCTGACTGTCATCGACCAAAAAAAAACTTCGCGTATCACAACCAGAAACACACTACAAACATACAACAGCATACAACCCAACACATTTCACATACATACACCTCATCATTCCCATGTTTCAGCTCATCTTCAAAATACACAAGATGGCCGCGACAGTTGAAGGGACCTTGTCAAGTTTAGGTATACATATACCTGTGATCCTGAAACCAAACGAAACTAGAGAGCTGTCGCTAAACAGGAAGGTGAAAATTAAAGGTTTTTATTGTAAAGACTCCTGTTCTGTCCATTCTTTGAAATCATTTTAAAGAGTACATAAGAATATATTCCTCTGAATTTCGATCACCTGGGTCACCCTCCTATCTTTAATGGTCATTTAGTGTAAGATTGCCTGTCTGTGAAACGTCTGCTAACTGAGATCTCGTTATTTGAAGTAAACTCACTTTTCAACCAATAAGGTGTGGGGTGCTCTATTCTTTCTGATCATGAAGCCCAATCATATAAAATCAACAACTTCCAATGAAGTGAAATAAAACTTGAGATAAGCCAAAGAATCAAAAAAAGCTTAAAGATAAACAGGGAAACAAGATATTCAAATATGACCATTCTCTCAACGATTTAAACCCATCATCGAGAAGTCTATGATTATCGATATACGCTTTTCCAAATGGTCTAGCTGTTAAAAGAGTAAAACACAAAACCCATAGTCTTCCACCTCCAATTTGTTTAGGAATATAAGGAATGATAAAAGGTTCTATAATGATCCCAATTGGTTGTACAATAAAGTATAAGAATGCAGATGGGAATTCTTCGTAGTAAACATGAGGAAAAGGGTGGGGTTTACGTGCTATGGTATGTGCCACTTTTCAAAAAAGTTCATCACACATTTCAATTATGATAATCAGTCAGCATAGGACTAGAAAGGTGAGCACTTTATGGTATACATTAAAGCTTGCTTACCATATTCATGCAGCAGACCACTAACAAAGAAGGTACTAAAGAGCCCACACACCCTCTGAGTCTTTGGTCCTCCTCCAAACTTCCTTACTATCATACTTGCTGGATGACCACCGCACATTACAAAGCTACGTCTAAATAATTGATGCCAATGTTTACCCCAGAGTAAACTAAGCGAAGTTGAATTATGTAATGAGTGGAAAAGTGGTTGAAATTGGTTGGCATCGTGCAATTTTAAAATCAATTCAGGTATAGGTATAAAGTTGTTCAACCAATGTATAAAGTAGCAAAGTATTCCAAACAGACATGATATACATTCTAATCCAGAAACCAGGAGCATACCAAAAGAGAATGTCCACAAACTCTCTCCAAGTAGATTTCTTCCCAGAAAGTCTGGTATACCTATCGAAGCTAAAGCTAAATCAGGTGAGGCTTGTTCTCGGGTGAGGATTAAGAACGCCGTCGAGCTGGACAGTAGCACGTTGGCCATGAATAATCGTCGGATGATCGAACGTAAAGTTAGACTTTCATGGTGCGTCTTCAACCCCCAGCCGTATTGAAAACCTCGGAAGCTGTTGGTCAGATCGAATGCAAACTAGGTCAGCAGAAAATTACAAGGTCATAAAAGATGGAATGCAAAACTCGAGTACCTTACAAATTGTTCCGAGGTCCATGTAGCAACTTCGATCCAAGTATCCACTTTTGTTGACGCGATTGAACCAGAAGCCAGATGTGCAGTGGAAGACTTTGAAGTAGGTTGATTCCAATATTTCCCAGCCCAGTACCCCTCGGTCATTCCCCACTCAAGTGATTTTGCAGCCAAATGAAAGCTCAAGATACCCATAGCCATATTGAGTAATCCATTCTTCGTGAAGGGTAAAAAACAGTAATCAATAGCGAGGGTTATAGCAAGCGTGAATGTCAAAGGAGTAAGCAATAATCTTATCCAACGTAAAAGTGTAGAACCAGAAAAATGAGAGTGTAAAAGTGCGCATTGAATCCAGAGAGGAAGTAATCGGAATAGAAGACCGGAGGATGGATTTTGACACCGGACAATTTCTTCTGGGTGCCAAAAAGTCTTGATTAACGAGCCAAAAAACATCTTCAAATATGATGATCTCGAAAAGCTTGTCCAAGTTTTCCCGCCAAATTGCTCGAGTTTTGCGGGAAAACTCGGACAAGCTTTTCGAGAACGACAGAAAGAAGACTTGGTTCAGCTTGGCTCACTTGTTCTCGGGCGGAAGTTTCTTTTATACATACTGCCAATTCAAAAAGGTGTCAAACTCAAATGATGCATTGTAATTGCATTTTTGGTGTCATCGGCCCAGGCAGCCCAGGCCCCACATGAGTCAATCGAGAGGACAGGAAGGATAATAATTAATTTTACATACAGCCGATTTGAGAATGATTTCCTTTTTCAAAAATTTGCTTCGCCGCTAAGACGAGAGTGAACAAATGTCCGACCAAAGCACCAGGCTCGCGAGCCCGCTACGCACTTGTAAGAGCATCACCGCCGTGGTGTGCAAATTAGCCCGATTTGATCCTCTGTGATACCCAACGTGCCGTAGGAGTAAATCTTAAAGCTTTACGCACCGTGCCGCGATTTGACGATCTGGTTGATTGATGGATCCCACAATTGTTTTTGAATTGGTTTGTTGTGGTGTTATTTTTGTTTCCAAAAAATGGAAGAAAATAGTCCAGCTTTTGAATGAACCACTAATCAAGTTATTTAGAGTACAATTGCAAAAGTTATTGGTGTTTTTAGACTGCAAAATATTGTCTTCACAAGCATGGACCAAATTTCAGGTATTGTTAGAGGTGGGTCTTTGATAATTTTCAAACTTTATTGTTAGTACACCAAGCAGTATCTGTGTGTAAAATATGAGAAAATACTCATAATGGAACTCCAATACTTAACAAAGTCCCACGCTCGCCACCAGTTCCCCACCAATTTGCTCGAGTTTTGCGGGCAAAATTGGTCAAGCTTTTCCAGTTTGACTGTATCTAGGAACAAGGAGCATGTTTTTTAGATTTTTTCCTCTCTTCCTGTTGCCTCAGGATTTTTCTACATCATTAGTTTTCTTTTCTGCCAGGCAAAGATTATATTTTTTGTGGTGTGGTGGTCCATTAGATAAAATAAATCAGCACATTTTGGGTTTTATGAAAATCAATACCTAAACATTGTTTTGGAAATATGATGGAAGATATGTGAAACTTTTTTAGTGAGTATAGAAGAATGGGGTGAAGACTGGCAAGGTAGTAGAGATAAAAAAATTGGCTATAGAAAAATCATGCTTGATGTCCCAATTAAGCAAGCGGGATATGCTCAGCATGGATATCACAAACAAGTGACAGGTTTTGCAGGTTACAGTCTCAGAACTGCATAGCTGATGCCTCCTACTCTCACCACAGCAACCACAAGGTGCGCAAGGCACAGCACTGTTTGCCAACCCTTGGCAGAAGCACACAACAGTGTGGCCAGGTTTTTTCCCCTTCCAGGAAAACTCTAGTGTGCTCTCTTTGCCAGGAGTTGTGCCATTACCAGCAGTTCACACCAGTCACCCCTATTGCTCTCTACGGTCAAACCCGCGCACATGCATAACCAGCCAAAATGCATATATTTTGGCTTCCACCCAGCTGGTGCGGGCAAATTTTGATCTTAAATGCATAATTATGTCAAAAACCATAATGCATACTTTTTTATAGATCCCCAAAGTCATAACGCATACTTATAAACCACCCTGGGAAGGCTTTTTTCTCCGCAATCTTGAATCAAACCTCCTTTGTTTACAATTTTCACAATGTATGTTTCTGATGTGTCCAAAATTTTGTGAACTTTGTCCTCTTGATTGTACTTGTAGTCTTCCTGTCTTTGATCCAGCCAACTTCCCCATTCCAGAAGAATTGGATCTTGAAAACAACTTGCAAGACCTTCAAGATCTGGGTTTGCTCTCTTCCAGGAATTGGATGTCAATTTCCAAGCTTCTGAACCCTGAAGACAAAACTTTAACATTTTCAGATACACTAACTCCTGAGGAGATTCATGACCAGTCTAAAATCTAGATGACTGTGAAGATGATGTCATCAAAAGCAAACCAATTCCTACCACTGACAAGGCATTAAAATACCTCAACAGTCTTGTAG